GGCAGATGAAAAAAAGATTATTTTTATTACACATCTTTCTCTCTTTCTTTTTCTTCCTTCTTTCCTTCTTTCCTTCCTTCCTTGCTATCTTGCTTTCTTGCTTTTGGCTATATTTGGGTGTGGACTCAGGACCTTGTGCTTACTAGGCAGGCACTTTACCACTTGAGCCACACCTCCAGTTCTTTTTAGCTTTAGTTAGCTTTCAAATAGGGTCTCATAATTTCTCACCCATCCCTCACCCCCTGGAATGACCTTGGAACATGATCCTCCAGACTACGACCTCCTGTGTAATTGGAATTATAGAGGCATACCACCATACCCAGCTTGTGTGTTAGGATGAGTCTCATTCATACTTTGTCCAGGCTGGCCTTACTGTTTCACTTATAAGTTACTCTCTCTTTTAAAAAAACAGGTCATTTCACTTCTATAAAAGTGCAATATTTTCCACTCCTGTATTTCTTCAAATATTTCCCTTCTTCCTCTTTCTCCTGCATTGTTTCTCCTCCCCATTTTCTCCTCCTCCTCATTCTATGTTAAGATAGAGTTGTTTTCTCTTGTCATTTGTTTAAGCCTTGTCGTTTGACAAGGGTCTACTTTGGTCCTTTTATCTGTCTATCTCCATGACTTTCATGCTTTCAGCCAACTGTTCTTGTTGGTGTTCATATGTACAGAAATCTCCAGTCAACAAGCATTTTTACAACTTCAGCTCACAGTTAATTTTCAAATCAACATCTCTGCTCACATGGAGCATAGGTTCACCTATCCTACTTTGCTTACCGCATTCTTTACTTTTTAAAGTGGTTCTGCAAACAACATCTTCTGCGCAGGTACTCACTAAAAATCAGGCTGTTGCTGGGTGCTGGTAGATCTTGCTTGTAATCCTCACTATTCAGGAGGCTGACATGTTCAAGGCCAGCCATAACAGGAAAGTCCATGAGATTTTTATCTTCAATTAGCCAGAAAAAATCTGGGAGAGGAGTTGTAGTTCAAGTGATAGAATGCTAGCCTTGAGAAAAATGATTGGGGACAGCACCAGGGCTTGAGTTCAAACCCTAGGACTAGTACATAAGAAAAAAAAAATCAGTGTGTCATTCTTCTTTCATTGCATGTGTCCAGTAAAAGACCAATTTCTATCGATTTTACTTACTAAAATGTATAATTATTCTTGGCTGTATATTTTTTGTTTATCCTTACTTTCCTTACTAAGGAATAACCTCAATAGTTTTCTACATCATACACTAGTTCCTCAGCTCACCTTTGTGCTAATCTTTCTTCAATTCAATTGTAGATTGGACCATCCTGTTTTCCCATTGTCTTCCATTTATCAGCACTATCATCTACATTTCCAAAGTCTTTTTTTCCATGTCAGAGTACCTAAGTCTAGCCTGACTCATTTGCTTTTCTAGACACAACTTTTGTCATTTTGGTACATGTGCAATAAATATTGTACATATATCACTGTTTTGTAACAATGTTACTTCAGAAAGTTATGAGTTCCTTGAGTTCATCAAATTAACCAATTTTGAAATATCAATTTCTCATATAGTCTGGCACATGAGGGTAGACAGACCTTTATTAAATGAATTTAATAGACAAAGAAAGGAATTTGAATATTTATTAACTTATAGTGATCAGGTGCTTATTCATACATGTATATAATTGAAACAATTTTTAACATACATATGGTGTCATTGATATAAATATACTATGTATTAGGTTATTCCATTAGGTTATTCCACTATTTATGCCATCTATATGGCTCAATTTCTTCAAAAGGTACAGCCATAGAAGTAAAATTCAAATCTCTAGAGATAAGATAATATTAATCATCAATATCTTGACAAATCTGAAGAAATAAAAGTCAGAAACTCTAAGAACTCTACACATATCATCTATTTCTTTTTATCTTTGTTCTTTTTTTTTTATTTTTGTTGGTTGCGGGCCTTGAACTTGGGGCCTGGGTGCTGTCCCTGAGCTCTTTTGCACAAGGCTATCACTTTGAGCCACAGCTCCACTTCTGGTTTCTGGTGGGTAATTGGAGATAAGAATCTCACAGACTTACCTCCCTGGGCTGGCTTTGAACTGTGATCCTCAGATCTTAGCCTCTTGAGAAGCTAGGAATATAGAAGTTAGCCAATAGCACATCTCTCTCTTTCTCTCTCTTTAGGGTGGTTCCTTCACAAAATAAAGTAGCTTTCCCATTTGTCAGTAGAGGAAAGAACATTCAAACACCAACCCTTGTTTAGCAGATGGAGGCAGAAAACTTTATGGTTCATCACATATCCTAATGATAACTACCCAAGTAGCTAAAGTGTGTATGTGTTTGTGTGTGTGTGTGTGTTTGTGTGTGTGTGTGTGTGTGTGTGTGTGTGTGTGTGTGTGTGTGTGAAAATATGTGATGCCATTTATCTCATTGCATTTCTGGTCTATTACTCTTGTATATTGTCATACAGAAGATATATGTAAATGGATCCTGCCATTGTAGGTGACCTTTTATTTGCTCTTTTCAGAAAAGAAAGCAAAATCCAAACCTGAATATGTAGCTCATTGCAATGATTACTACGATCACAAGTGAGTTTAAAATGATTTGTTGGAAGGCAAACACTCGTACTCAGCACATTGCATTCCCTCTTTGTAGTATGTGGTTAGAATTTATGTGCTTTGTGCTTTATACATCAGCAACAGCTGTATGCTGAAGTTCCAAAGAAAATCTCAAAATAGCTTTGTTACGAGCTGAAAATGGCATTTATGAACTTTGGCAGAAACTTTACTCTTGAGCCATGTTTAACTTTGAAAGTTGAATGGAAAAATTCACTGTGGGAGGAAGCCAGTCTCCGAGGATCCTATTGTTAGAGAAAGAGGTGCCAACTAAACACAGAGCTCCAGGCTCTGCAAGCATGCGCACTCACACTACAGGCGTCCTGGACACAGCCACGTGGCCAGCCACCTAACCGCAGTTACTCATTGCCAGGAAGCAGCAGCAGAGCAAAATGGCACCTAGGAACTGCACACCAGAGAATGTCTTTGCATTTTCTTTCTCAGATAGCAGCCTCAGAAACTTAAAAAAAAAAAAGACTTCATTTTATTAACTCACTCATTAAATCAGTTTTCCTATCACTTGGGTAATCCTTTATGATTTCAGATAGAAGCTTCTATCCCAGTCAGGATTCATGGTCAGGGCTTGATCTCCCAGGTATCTCACCTTGGTCATTGTTTGTGTGCTCTTACTACTGTTGGGGACAATAAGGGACAGAGATCTTCTTTCGTTTCGTTGCTGACCACTGTTGCATTGAATGACATTGGAATAGCAATAGCTTTACTGGAAGCCTTTTACTCCTTTAGCCATAATAGGTGCTGAGGAAATGTTTGGCCCAGGAATAGTTCTCTGACACTAATCATGCTAATGTGTCTTACCACATCACATCTGGACAAATTCTTTTGTTTTCATTTCCAGATGCTTCTACAGGATGTGGATGTGAGCTATCCCAGCATGCTATGGGGGTGCATATGATTGTCTGTTACATGCAGGCTACTTGAGATTTTGAATCTTAAGAAAGGGCCTCTGTGGCTGAGTGTGAGCCAAAGAACCTCTCAGAGACAACACAAGGGGTGTGTGTGTGTGTGTGTGTGTGTGTGTGTGTGTGTGTGTGTGTGTGTGTGTCCCAAGCCTGTCTTACAAAGAGCCTTTTTTGTGTAGGCCAGTCCTGGGGCTTGAACTCACAGCCCATGCACTGTGTTTGAGCATTTGTGCTCAAAACTAGTGCTCTACCACTTGATCCATAGCTGACTTCCAGCTATTTTTGGTGCTTAATTGGAGGTAAGAGTTTCACAGACTTTCCTACCCAGGCTGGCTTTGAAGGGCATTCCTCAGATATCAGCCTCCTGAGGAGCTAGGATTATAGGCATAATCCTTTGGTTACTGGACAAAGAGCTGTTTTTGAAGGAACCACATCTTAATATGTCTGACTCACTCTTGTGGATGAATTTTTTTCATTTGTCCCTTGCTGGTGGAGTGCTAGACAAGGATGAAGTCTAGGCTCCCCTGTGCTGTGTCCCTAGACATTTTGTAGCTCCTCTATGCACTTGGTCCAGTAACAGTAGGTGTAGCTCCTTTGTCTTATCTTTCCATGGTAATATGGCTTATTAATTTTTCTATGTCACTTGGCTTATATTAAGTGACATATATCCCACCTATGATAGATATTCTGAGTCAAAATACAAGGAGCAAGAGGCTAGGGAGTTAATTGGAGAACTTCTTTCCTGGAAGGCAAGTAGATGCATGAAAAAAAAATCTGAGCTTCTTGAAAGAAGAGCAATGCTGTCTGCCTGAGTACAACTGAGGACTCTGCCACATCATTTCCCCGGCAAGGACGATCCCAGGGACCCCTCAGAGTACAAGATAGCCCTGCTCCATTGTCAACTAATAGCTTCTTTTGCCTGGACTACTGGGAGGGATATTCAAATCACTTAAATATAGAACACAGAGCTACACATATGCATTTTATGATGCGTCAAGAAGAAAGACTAATCTAGATATTTCTTTATCTTGGGGATTAGCACTATGGTCTATGAAGAAACATAGTAGACTTTTTTTTTCTGAAAAGATTTAAAAATGGGACATGATCTTGCCCGCCTAGGAAGGTTTTAATGTTGCTCTCTTTGCTGGCCAGTGAACAGCAGGAATGGAAACTCTAGGCCCTTGCTAACAAGTAGTGAGCCAGCCACCGTGGATTCTAAAGCAGAAGGTTCTGGAAAGCAAGCTTTTGGAATTTGGGTTCTGCTGTCTTACATGGTCAGTGAAAAGCATTGCAATATAAGTAGATCTCCCACAAGTCTGTGAGGGAACTTTAACTCATGAACTCTTTGTACTTACCCCATAATTTACATATTGTTGTGATTATACCTCAAGTCACTAACTAGAAATGTATTCATGTGCTTTGTGAAAGTTTCATTACGTTTTGGTTATAATTCAAAATGTATTATTTGTTCTTCTTCCGCAGCCTCCACCTCAGATATATGACAAACAGCTGGATGAAAGAGAACATACCATTGATGAGTGGAAAGGTGACTTTACTATTTTAAAACATCTACTTTTTGCTGTACTGAAATTCAGAATGCAAAGTTATCCAATCCTCTCTACATCCTATACTTAGGATGTGGAAAGCATCCCCATGACTTTGTTCTGTAAAATAATTTACTAAAAGATGTTTTTAAATTTCTTGTGCTGGAGCTATACCTCAGTGCAGTTTAGCGAGTATAACGCCACAAGGGCAAGATTTGAAAAGATTGTTTCAAAGCTTGTAAAACTTCAAATAAGATATATTAATAGAATAGTACATTGTACAACAATGAATAGGAATTAATGATTGATATTTTGAATGCAGTACTAAGTCAGGTGGCAATGTCTTATATGCTAAAATCTGAGGATTGTGGCTCAAAGCTAGTCTGGGCAGAAAGGTCTGTGAAACCCTTATTTCCAACTAACCAGCAAAAAGCTGGAAGTGGAGATGTGGTTCAAGTGGTAGAGTGACAGCTCTGAGCAAGAACATGAGGCCCTGAATTCAAGCCCCAGTAGCGACACACACATATACACCTCAAACTAATACTGTTTGTCAAAATGTTTCCATGGTGAAAGGCTGACTTCATTGAAAATATAAACATTAAACAATGTGTTTGAACATAAAATTATCATGTGAAATGTAAAATAACATTTGTGCTAACTTTATAAGCTAAATAAGTTACTACATGAATTACTTCACTAGGTTTATATGATTTGGAGGTTTTAATAAAACATATGTGTAACTATCAGGCTTTACATTAAAAACTTATCAATAAATATATTTATCTGTTTTTTTCAGAACTTCTCCAGCCTTATACTCCATCTTCAAAATTACACTTAGGTTGAAACAAAGCAGAAAAACAGGTTGAACTTGTAAAAAGTTGTTAAGCTACTCTTAAGTAACTACAGAGAAGAGTAAATGTAAGAAAATCAAATGCAGGTGTTGTCAGTTGATCAGAAGAAAATAGGGAGGAATATGAAGAAATGATCTGAAGAAAGGAAGCTTTGACCTACCTTAAAAATTAGTGAATACATGGTGGGGGAAAAATCACAAATATGTAAGGATATATAAATGATAAATGTAAAGCCAGCGGTAGGAGTCAGCAAAATGGTTATAAAGGGAGTAAAGAGATTCCACTGTCTAAAGGTACATGTTGGTGAATCTTGTGCATGAATGAGCATATGCAAAAGAAGGTGAAGAAATAGCTAGATGTCAAGATAGTAGATGGAAAAGACTTGGTTTGGTTTAAGTGAGAGCAGGAAAGTATTCGTAGGGATGAGGTATGTGGTAGGATATGGACATCACTGGAGGAGAACATAGAGTAAATTGGAGAATAAAATACCTTTATATTATATATTATTACAAAACAAGTATGAGTAGTGCCAAATAATTTTCGGTTAAAGAAGGAAAAAATAAATAGAACAGAAGACTTTCAAGTTTCACTCTAATAATGAGAAAGCCACAGATGGTTAAGAGTTTGAGAATGAACAAAATGTATTTTAAAATGTATTTAGATTTACAAATCCAAGATATAATCTGAACGAAAAATGAAGGATGCAAGTTGTAGAATAGGTAATAATTTAAAATTATGAGGATAGGTACCTCTTAAACTGTGATTACGAAATAACGGTTGGTCTCCAAACTAGAAACAATGAAGTCTTTAACTGATAACACTATAACACTTCAGGAATTGCCACCACAAAATATTCGTAAAATAGTAAAATGTTTATTTGAGTATATATGCATGCATATATATGTACATAGATGTGTGTATTTATATATGCATGCATTCATATATATATATATATATTTATCAACCCCATTAAAATGTTGTCATTAACAAATTTTAATCTTTATGGATTAAGGATAAAATTTTAATATCATGGATAACTATTTCTTACAGAACTTATCTACAAGGAAGTCATGAATTCAGAAGAAAAGACTAAAAATGGCGTAGTAAAAGGACAACCTTCTCCTTCAGGTACTCACTCTCAGTGAATAACCAGTAAACACTTGTGTATTTTACAGGCCTTTTATCAGGGGTTGCAAAGAATAACATAGCATTTGGAAAAAAAATTTTTTTTTGGTCGGTCGTGGGGCTTGACCTCTGGGCTTGAGCGCTATCCCTGTGCTCTTCAGCTCAAGACGAGTGCTGTACCGCTTGAGCCACAGTGCCACTTCCGGTTTTCTAATGGTTAATTGGAGATAAGAGTCTCAAGGACTCTTCTGCCCCGGTTGGCTTTGAACTGTGATCCTTAGATCTCAGCCTCTTGAGTAGCTAGGATTACAGGCGTGAGCCACTGGTGCCTGGCCATTTGGACAAATTTCATATGACTATTTTCCTAAGATTTCAATTTTGTTTTGATCTTTATTGAGGCATTCATTCAGATTATTGTGACTGATGACCTAACAAAATAATTCTTCCTCTTTTTTCTTTCTCTCTTTTCCTTTCCTTTTTCTTTCTTTTCTTTCTCTCCCTTTTTCTCTTTTCTCTTTCCTTTCTCTTTCTCTTTTTTACTTACTTTAAGAAAGCAGTAAGTCCTGAAGATCTTGAACTAGCTTTAAAGTAACTACTTCTCATTGAAACTGCCATAATGCCTCTTGGGTTATGAGGTCTTTCATTTAGTCAAGTGAAATACATTCATCGAGCCTCAACTTTCTCCTTCATTCTCAACGTTAAAGAAACAATAGTTGAGGCATTTACTAAATTAGGCTCTACTTAAAATCAGCTTGGATAACCTTTAATCCAACACAGGTTTGTTCTTATAAATTTCTATCATTTATTTATACATTTCTATAGGTAGGAATGTTTCATAAGATCAAAAGAATCCTCTTACGCTTACTAGTGCTTTGAGTTTTAGAAAATGTGGTTGTTTATTTTTAGCTTTGAACTACATGCAGCCTCATGCTGTATGGAATAACATCTGCAAATCACTGGAGTAGAAGAAAACTGATTTGGATGACCTACTTTCAGTCTATAATATAGACATATGTTTTCGGAGAAAAGGGTGTAGACTGAGAGAATTACTCCTACTGATCTTCTTCTTGAATACCTGATTTGCATTCATAGCTACTGTCACACCCAAATGGACAGTTCAGTTATTGCATGCTTTTCTCACTATTGCACTTGAGGCTCTGTCCAGTTTATCCTAAGTCTCCTCAGGGAGGGTAAAGGCAATCGGATTTCCCTCCACCTGTCTCCACTACTCATTCATTCTAGCATCTAGATTGATAAAATCTGTAGAAGCTGTTTCTAACTTATCTGTGTGCTCTACCCACTGCAGCTATATGAGCTCATAGACAGAATCCAACCATCTTAAGATGTCACTAGTCATGGCAGTATGACTAATTCTGAAAAATTTATCCCTGGACCAGATCATATTTTATCCAGTCATTAAGAAGCTAAGATGTCAGTTTCCACCCAAAAAGATATTCCAGTATCTCAGACCAGGGCTGAATGAACTGCATGAGAATCTATGCTATTCACTTACATTTCAAGTTACCATTATTGTTTTCCATTCCACCTTGTTGCAAAAGACTTTTCCTATCTTCTCAAAGAATAGGGTCTTTCCTTGTGTTTTAAATATTGAAGCTCATGCCTTATTACCTATTGGTTATACATTTGTTGAGAACAAAGGATGCAATCATCTTGATGTACCATTCAATGTCTTAGTAGTCTCTCTCAATAATAGTAGCTCAATAAATACATGTCACTTTGTAAATCACCACTCATTTCCTTTCTCAGCATGTTTCTAGGTGTTATTCCAAAGAAAGAATTTAATAGGATCATAGCTTTATTGCAACGTGAAAATTAGTATGTTTCATATTATGAATATACACATTTAATCACTCTGTTAATCTCTATTAAGATAAGTGTGTCAAGCAGCAAGTGTATGTTGCTGACATTTGTTCATCAAATGTTTGCTGCTTTCAAGTGGAAATTTGATTCTTCTTTTTGTGGTTATTTTTAACATTTTTATTAGCATTAGTTAATTTTTCAAGATTTATTTTGACATGTTCTTGTGCATACAACATACCTTGATTAGAATTCCCCTCTTCATCTCTCTCCCTCATTCCTCTTCCCCTTTTCAAACCAGTCTCAGCAAGCTTGATTGTCCCATTTTCACACATGTCCAATAAGTATTTTTACTATATTCATCCTACTTCACCCTCCTCCCTTGCACCAGCATGAAATTTTTTTGGAGGCCTGTGTAGTTGAATGATTAATGGCTAATTCTAAAATAAGTCACTCACCTTGTTCCTCCTAATTGTGAAAACTAAGCAACATATTCCAACTACCTTTAATAAATAAGAAACCACTAGGTACTTAAACACATGCCTAAATTTCACCAATATAGTTAAAATGACTGTCCATGGAACAATCATTGTAACTGTTTTTAGGCCTTGGGCCTGAACTCCAGAAGTCCCATATGTCAGTCCTGGCCACTCACTTCTATATGCCAACTGGAGAGACATTGTGAAGGACAGGGGAAAAAAGATTCCTTACATGGAAGCCAATCAGAGGACAGCATTTCAGTACATCTTTCAAGCATTTTCAGGAATATTGACATTTGCCTTAGTTTTAAGTAGACAGGGACCTGGGGTAAGAGTAAGAAGGTTATGTAGATCATCTCAAATCACAAGTGGGTTCCTTGTAATTGGTGACAGAGAGATGGTCCTACAGTTTAGTTTCTCAGTGTTGGTCAGACAGAGTCCTGTGGGAATCATTGAAACCTGGCCTTCGTGGCCTTCAAGATGGCTGTTTGCTTCCTTTGGAGTAGTTTGAACTCTTGTCACAAAATAATAAGAAGGCGTTATTTATCTTAGGGCCAGTTTGCCTTTTGTCACAGATGCTTTCCAGTGGTTAATCCTGACCTTCCAGGAAGCGATTGCAAAGTGTCTGAAGGACAGGATGGCTCAGATCAAAGGGCACAGGTACAGTCTAGGGATCTGGGTGTCCAGCTTTTATCCTGCTTTTTTTTTTTTTTTTAATTAATTCACGGACCCAGCAAGAACATCTTTTAAGCCCTCTGCCACAGACATTCAATCTTTCACTAGATGTTTTTGAAGGGAAAATATTTGACTTAATTTTGTTAAATGATGTGTGCACCATTTTCCTATGACATATTTATCTGTGGTGCATTTGTTTGTGGCATGGAGGGATTATAGGATAACCCTGTGTTCCAGCCAACCCTTCTAGTCCATAAGAACAACTGGACATGTCTTCCCCCAAGGGAATTTATTGATGTCATTCGTGTGGGGAGCTGAAACCAGGCAGGGAAGATTTACAACATCCAAGTGGACAGAGGTTATTTTTTATTATTTTTATTATTTTGACCTCTGGTGAGTTTATTGGTATATCACTCTCTGATTGTGCAGGGGTGTATATGCAGTAAACGGCTGTAAAGAAAAAAAAAACTCATTCCTTAAAAACAAAACTTTTAAAAAGATACCTTTTTTACATTTTATTTGCCCCTTTTCCATGAATATTTTCATGGAATATTTTATTTTTTACATGACTCAGATAAAGCAGTTTTACAGTATAGATTCTCTTAATACTCATGTAAAGAAACAGAATCCAATAGCTGGAGAATAAGTGAATGAAATTCCCTGGGACAGAATGCTTCCAATAGCCAAACCTATGCTTTAGTGATGCTTTAAAGATGTCAATGGAAAGCCAAACACAATTTGCTGGGTAAATTATAGGTCTGAAATTTATTGATGGAATTGTTGCCTATCAATAGGAACCACATCTGGACTTTAGGTGCATTCCTAAATAAATGTGCTCTCTTCTGCGATCTGACTTCCCTTGCCCAGTGATTTATTTTTCAGAATAGCACAGCTAGTTGCTTCCTGAATTGATTTGTAAAGATTGCTGGGGGAACAGCAGCCCATGAATAGAAATTAATTTTCCTCTAAAAGCACTTGATACGAAAGGTTAGGTTAGAATAAACAGGAGCTCATAGCATCTAGCAGCTCTCTATTCCCACCTCTCTTCTCCCTGAGAAATGAAGCACCCATAAGACCCATTTAGAGAGTTTTCAGTCTCTACATCAAACAAAGGGCTCCCTATGTATTTTTATGTACAACCCTTTTTCTTCAGCAGAGAATTTCCTTCCATTGGAGTGTGCCCCTCCATGCTACAGTCATGGTATAGTCAAATAAGCGTCTTCATTTATATTTGAAATACGTCAGACTCAAACAAGTTAAGGTTCAAGACCATGAAGACAGAGAAAGAAGTATAACTCAGACATTTTTTTTCCCTTCTAGTTTTTCTTCTCATTCATTGTATCTGCCCTTTTGTTTCTTCTTTGGAAGAGTGTGGACAGGAAAATAATTTCCTCTGAAAAAGCAGATCACACTTCTTCCCCAAAACAATGACTATTTTTTGTTTATATAACTTCTAGCTGAGAAATCCCCATAAGCATAAATTACTTAATTCCATAAAAGCTAATTTTAAAAGTAAAATGTAAGTAAAGTAATATTCCTCATTAATATGCTGTTAGTATTTTCAATTCCTTTTAATGCTGTTTTCATTCATAATTTAGGATGCTTCCTTGATGGTCAATGAACTGTTTTGTTTTGTTTTGTGCCAGTACTGAGGCTTGAACTCAGGGCCTCAAGCTCTTGGCTTTTTCATTTATGGCTGGCACTCTACCATTAGCATTATTTACAATTTTATTGTAAAAGTGATGTACTGAAGGGTCATAGTCACATAGGTCAGGTAATGAGTACAGTTCCCTTTAACCATATATCACCTCCTCTCTCATTCTCTCCCAGCTGTTCCCTTCCCAACTCCGCTCTTCCCAAGTTGTATCGTTCATTTCCAGCATAGTGTCTACTGAGTATCAGTGCTGAATTGGTTCACCCTTTGTCTCACCGTTTCCGTGCTTCCCCTCTCCCTCCCCAAATCAGATAAACTTAGATACAAGACAAAGTGTACAGAAGTCAAAAAGCGACAAAAGGGAATAAAACCAAAGA